AGTGCTTTTGTTATTGATCTGTAGTCATTAACCTCAGATGTACTGATTTTGTACAAAGTACTATTTAAAAGTTTGATAGAAAATTCTTCTTTACAGTTGTTTTTAGCAATGAGAAGGAGATCTGAGTAGTTCATTCCTTCTGAGACCATAATTGGCGGTGGACGTGATGATTTTTGGTCTGCTGAGGCATTCTTAATTGCATAAACTGATGCCATATTTTTGTCCTTGGAAGGAGATATGGAGTCAGGAGAGCGATCAGGTTTTCTCTTCTTAGCGGGCCTTTTCTTAGAGATCCTGTTGGAATTTATCAAATGTAGAACACACCTTTACAATAAAACGCGTTGTTTGCTTTTCGAGTGTATAATCACAACTGTCGTTATTTATTAAATTAAATTATGTAAGACTAAATAAGAGCTTATTAAAGCTTGACAAAATATCTATATATGTGTAATGTTATTAACATTGTGGTAGGATTTAACTTCAACACTCCTCCTCAATGTTTATAACATAAAATAATATACTTCATTTTACTACAATATAAAATACTAACTTATAATATGTACAATTTCATCAATTCAATAATTTTTATAAATATCATTCATCATTCATTATTTTAATCCAAGAGCCATAGTTAATTTACAATGCTTAATTTTTTGTAAGTTCTTGGTAAAGATATCTGCCAACATTATATCAGTTGGACAGTATTGTAAATCAATCTCTTTATTACTATATGCTTCACGAACAAAGTGATATTTTATATCTATGTGCTTACTGCGAGCATGATATACAGGATTTTTGATCATAGCACTCATACTGTCACTATTTATCATAATTGTTCCAATATCACTAAGTCCTATTAGTTCTGACCAAAGTTTTTTTAAATATATAGCTTCTTTGGCTGCTGCAGAAATCGCCATATACTCCGCTTCTGTACTGCTTAGAGCCACTGTAGTCTGCTTTTTGCTCTCCCAACTGAATACACTTCCTGCCAAGATAAACGCATAGCCCGTATACGATTTTCGATCAGTTGCATCGCCTCCCCAATCTGCATCTACATACGCTTTAATTGCTGCACCACTCTTATTGTAATGCAATTTCATGTCGATGGTTTTGCTAAGATATCGTAGAATATGCTTTGCTGCCGTTAAATGCTCAGAGTGGGGATTACAATTTCTCTGGGCTAGTTTGCATACTGAGTGCAATATATCAGGTCTTGTATTGATAGCAATATACATTAGTGAGCCAATCAATGACTGGTATTCCGTTATATCAACTTTATTACAACTTTCATTTATACAATGTACCTGAAAGTTTGTCTCAAGAGGGGTAGAGACTGGGCGACACACACTCATACGATTTTTCTTTAAGAGCTGCAATACAAGTTGTTTTTGACTAATAGTCAAAGCACCAGTAGGATTTTCACGCTCCACTTCCATACCCAGAAAATGATTTATAGGACCCTTATTTACTATCTGAAAAACATTAGAGATTTTCTTTATTATTGCGCCCAACTCACCTAGGTCTGTACACACAAGTAACAAATCATCCACATACACTGCGATGATATTCAAACAATTATTGTTATTTTTTGTATATACACATGGTTCGCTTCGGCATGACACAAATCCTATTTTCTCCAATTCCTCATTCAATCTGGAATGCCACATTCGGCCTGACTGTTTAAGTCCATATAAAGATTTTTTGAGCTGAAGCACTTTATTATCGTCTTTCTCGAATAATTTCGGTTGCTCCATAAAAATTGTTTCTTCGAGATTACCATTCAAATATGCTGATGACACGTCAAGGTGATGGACATGAAGTTCATATTCTACTGCTATAGCTAGAATCATTCTTATGGTTTCATATCTCACTACCGGTGAAAATATTTCAGTATAATTAACACCGTACTTTTGACTACAGCCCTTAGCGACCAATCGTGCTTTGTACCTCTCGATGTTTCCAGTTGCATCGAATTTCACTGCAAAAACCCATTTACAGCCGATAGCTTTTTGCCCTGTTGGCAGCTTCACCGCGTCCCATGTATGATTTTTTACCAATATATCATACTCCTCCTGCATAGCGCGTCTCCAGTAAGCGGACTGTTCGCTCTGTAGAGCTTCGAGGACTGTTTCTGGGACTACTATATCAGATGACGTCTTGACTGGAGCTACTAAGTTTACAATATCACATTGTGGCCTTGGTCTTAAATTATAACCAGCTCTTGTACCAGTATAGTCTTCGGATTCTGGAACATCAGGTATATCATCTTCCTGTGGTGTATTCATTTGACTACTTTCTTTGTTGGCAGTTCCGTTCTCCTCACTGTTTTTGAGATTTTCAGTTGGAATTTCAAATTCATTATCTGGAATATAGCGGTTAAGATTACTTGCACTTAATAAAGGTAGGAGATCAATATTGCTATTATCGTTTAAATTTTCAACGAAATACACATCGCGACTTACAACAAGCCTTTTATTTATTTTGTCATATAGCCGATATGCTTACGATTTTTCTGCATAGCCAACCATAATCATTTCTTTGCCCTTTGGTCGAAATTTCTTTTTCTCAGTTTTATCAAGAGCTATCGCCAAGCAACCAAATACTCGCAAATGACTTACCACAGGTTTCTTTTCCCACCAAATTTCATATGGAGTCAAGTTCTTTATTGTTCTTGTTGGTGATCGGTTTCTTATATATGCTGCAGTGTTAATTGCTTCACCCCAGAAGTTCTCGTCGACACCTGCGTTTAAGATCATACTCCGTGCCATCTCTACTAAAGTTCTGTTGACTCTTTCAGCAACGCCATTCTGTTGTGGAGTATGAGGCACAGTCAATTGTCTAAGAATACCCTTTTCATTTAAATAATTATTAAATTCAGTATTTACGTATTCAGTGCCATTATCACTACGTAACATTTTAATTTTTTTACCTGTTTGGCATTCAACCATGCTTTTAAATGATTTGAAAACATTTAAAACTTCTGATTTTTGCCTTATAAAATAAACAAAAATATACCGCGAGTTGTCGTCTACAAAAGTAACAAAGTATCTGGATCCTCCGATTGAATTAACATTTATTGGTCCACAAACATCACTATGGACTAAGTCTAAGATATTTTTCGTTTTACTTTGAGACGATTGAAACGGTTTAGTGTTGCACTTGCATTTAAGACACACTGTGCAGTTTATATGTTTTTGATCTGAATCAAATTTTAAACCCAGCACTAGTTGTTTATTTTTTAATTCGATTAAACTATTAATATTTAAATGTCCGTACCGTCTATGCCACAGAACTAAATTATCATTTGCATTATTATTAAAAAACAATTGCGTTTTCAAATCGATTGTTTTGTTTACTATTTCACAAAAAAATAATTGTTTTATTTGCTTTGCTTTTAACACAGCTTCACCGTTTTGATCATAAATATACGCGTTATTTTTTTCGAATGTCACTTTGTAACCATTGTTTGCTGCCTTGCTTACAGAAACAAAATTACATTGCAATACCGGAATATAGAACACATTTTTTAATATAAGTTCACCCATGTGACTTTTTATTCTCACGTTGCCACGTCCTATAGCTTTGAGAAATTTATTACCTGCAAGCATTATTTTTTCATTGCACTGCTCAAAATCTTCAAACATTTCACGATGAGCGCACAAATGAGAAGTTGCGCCACTATCCAAGCACCAAGCTTTTTTATCTAGTACCGTGTTTTGAGTTACTCCAAAAACAGAAAAAAATGATTTCGAATATTCTCCAGAAACTTTTTCAGTTCTCTTAACAGAAGTTTCTCTTGATCTGCATTCTGCAGCGAAATGGCCTTTCTTCCCACATTTGTAACATTTAAAGTTACTCTTTTTTCTAAAATTTTTATCTCCTTTACCTCCGCTATATCTTTTGGTGTGCTCGTTGTTGGAATATTTATGGCTTGATGTAGCAACTAAGGCTTGTACAATACCATCTGCTTCGACTGTTTCATTATGTTTTCTCCGCTCACTTTCTTCAAATAATTTTGTTTTCAAAGCACTAAGCTTTGGGAGCTGATCTCTTGTTTCTAACGCAACAACAAAGTTTTCATAACTTTTTGGCAAACTTGCTAAAATTATTATCACAAACAATTCTTCTTGCAATTCAAGGCCAATTTCTGAAAGTTGTTCAATGACCTTTTCGAAGCTCGCAATATACTGCTGCATGGAATCACCCTCACTCATGCGCATATATATCATTTTCTTAAACAAAGATACCTTTCTTATCGGTCCAGTGGGCTGATGAATTTCTCTTAATGCAGTCCAAGCGGATTTTGCGGTATTACATTTTTTTATATGTCCAATTTCTGAAGTTTTTATTGACAACGTTATTACCGCCAACGCCTTTTCATCGTTCAGTCTCCACTTTTCACATATATCCACATCTTTTCCATCCTTGGTTATTTCAGGCATTTTTTCACTTATGACACGCCAGAGCCCTTGGTGTATGAGGACACTCCTCATCTGGATACTCCATGAGTCGTAATTATTTTCATCCAGTTTATCAATATTATATATAGAATTCATATTACTTGAGTTAAGCCTGGGCCCATAACCTGTTGGAATTTATCAAATGTAGAACACACCTTTACAATAAAACGCGTTGTTTGCTTTTCGAGTGTATAATCACAACTGTCGTTATTTATTAAATTAAATTATGTAAGACTAAATAAGAGCTTATTAAAGCTTGACAAAATATCTATATATGTGTAATGTTATTAACATTGTGGTAGGATTTAACTTCAACAGATCCACTCCGTTTCTTTCGCAAGTTCATCTTCATCAGTTTCGTATACAATTTGATTGTGCACATTCTCAGACTTTTGGGTAACAGGTAATGGAGAACCTTTAAGCAACTCATTTTCTTTTTTAAGAACTTCTATCTCATTTCTAAGTTGAAGACATAGCTGCTCCATATTGTTTATTTTTTCTATATATTTAGATATAGCACTACTTTCGGCTTTCTCTTTAAATTTTGATACTTTTCCTCCACCATAAAGTGGAGGTTGCTGCGGATTCATATTAGATTAAGTTCTTTGCGTAATTTTTGTTAGTTGATATATATATAAAAAGAAAATAACTTACAACTACGCTATTAGAGCTGACAAATTGAATTACACAATAATATTTTTTTACACGATGTAAAGCCAAAAATTGTGCACTAGTTTAGTAGTTTTGCAACACTATGCTGTCTATATCAGCTGATTGTATATGTGTAATAAAATATCAAATAACAAATATTAGGTGAATGTTATTTTTTGTTTTATGTTTTTGATTTTCCGTTCGGAATATTATAAAAAAAAATCTAATCAATTAATAAAATAACACCGCGGGCGCGATATTTCGGCACTTTCGGCAAGTTCTTTAACTAATTATGATATTATATTATATTTTTTGGTACTTTCGCATTTAATGACAAGTCTTTTACTAGGTTTCACTTCGAAAAAACACGGAGCGCATCACGAACGCGACTTACTTTTTCAAACACACAAAGAGATTTGTATATTATATTACAATGTTGTATATTATATTATTTAATATATATATATACATATGTACTTTAAATTATTATGTATATTTACATTAATCTTTACTTTCATTTCTGAAGACAGATAGATGTTAATAATTTCACATAATTTTTTTTAAGAAAAATTAACAAATCGATTAGTATCGATAGTATTTAGTAGACGATATTTGTTCTATCTAATTATAGACAACAAAAACCACTCAAATCAAAATGAAATCAACTTCAGTAGTATATAAAAATCGGGTCTAACTCAATTGGCATTGATTTTTTTTTTTCAATTTATAAATTATTTCTTGAAACTTTCATTACTAACTAATATTGCCATTGCTTTGGAAAAAACTATTGACAATTTAATTATTCAAAATAAAAAAAGGTTGAAAATTAAAATTGAAACTGAAATTAAATTAAAATTGAAATCAAATCAATTAAATAAAATTTATAATATTTTAAATCAAATAACAATTTAGAAAGAATGGTGTCCTTCTTTTTTAAACGGTTCATCTTCTAACTTTAATAAGTACTGATGGCTACATCGAGCAGCTTCTTCTATTACTGTTGGTATGCTCAAATCTCTATGATAGCATTTTTTATAAACTACGGTGCATCTGTTATCATTCTTCGGATTTTAAATTGTAGTCTTTGCAGTTTTTCAAAATTTGATGGCATCGCGTTTCCCACAGTTGTATTCCGTAACTCCATATACGTTTTATTATCGACTTGTCTAACAGAATTTTGTATTCAAGTGGTAGCTTAGATGACGTGCCCATAAGCCAATGCAATGAACTTAGTTTTATATTAATTTGTGTTTTTTAGCCTCTATGTATTTGTTCCAGGTTAAACGTTTATCTAGATGTATCTCTAAGTATTTTATATAGTCGCACAAGTGTGATTTTTGTTCATATATTGTAATATTGGGACAGTTTTCTGGTCTAAGAGCAAATGTTACATGGGTACATTTTTGTTCATTGACTTTGATACGTCATACTGATAACCATTGCTCGAGTTGGTGAACATGATTTTGAAGCATACGTTGTGTGATTGCGGGGTTTTTCTGTGCACGAGGTATTGCGGGGTATTACTGTGTCGTCAGTAAATGTTGCAGTTAAAGTGTTTTTCGAAGTTGGCATATCACTTGTATACAGTAGGGATAATAGCGGACCTATTACACTTCCTTGCGGAACTCCTGCTTGGATAGGACGAGGTTCTGAAACAAAATCTTTATATCTTAAACTAAAAGTTCTTTTGCTTATTTAGTTTTTTAACAAAAGGTGAGTGTTAGTTGGCATGAGAGTTGTAATTTTATGTATTTGGGCTACATTTATAAATATAGAAATGCAGTATTGTTTATTTTCAAATGAGCTTCTAACGAATGATACAATACGATGCACTTGTTCAGTTGTGCTATGTTTAGTTCTGAAGCCGAATTGATGTTCCGGAATTATTCGTTAGCTGAGAATATTGCCATTATTTTTGCTATTAGTAGCTTTTCAAATATTTTTGATAATACTGCAAGGACGTTAATTGGCCTGTAAGATTCTACTATGATCTTGTCCTTCCTAGGTTCAGGTGTCACTGTTATTTGTAAGATTTTTCGAAGTTTGGGATAATAACCTGTCCGTAAGATATCGTTAAAAATGTGCCTGAGATGTATTATGGCACATTGTGGTACCTGTTTCACCATTGCAACTGAGATTTTATCAGGTCCTTCTGCCTTTTTCGCATTGAAATCTTTTATAATTTTAATGATATTTTCTAGTTTAAAGACAAGTGAACAGCTCGAGGGATATAGGTTTATAATTGGTAAAGAAGAGTGTTTTGAAGCATCATTTGGAGTAAATACATTTTTCAAGTGTTTAACAAAAATGTCCCCTTTCTCAGAGTCATTTCGTGCCCAGTCACCATTTTATAATTTCAGAGGAGATTCATGCTGGTTAGACTGTTTGAGGTACTTTGTTGTTTTGCAAACTGAATAGTCAGTTTGTTCATTAGGTGCCAAATAGTATAGAAAATTGTCTACGGATTTTTGATGTCTTTCCGCTAGTGCATATTTGAGTTCATTAGAACATTTAGCAAGCAGAACTTTATGTTTTGGGGATCTATGCCGTTGCCATAATCTTCTAGCTTTCCTCTTCCGTTGCATTAATGTCTCTATTTTATTTGCCACACCAATTTTTTGGGGCGTTTTTTCAGTTCTTATCGAAGCTACTTCAGCACCCGTTGAGATTACTTCAGAAAATTGGTTAACACAGGCATCAATTTCATTATTCAGTTTTTACGAACCGTGTTGTGGTATATGGCAAAAAACATATTTAGAAATGAAAAATTTTGGAAGTCTTAGTCTTCTATATTGTGGTTGGGTGGGCAATGAATTGCAGATATTATGACATTTCTACCATATTTATCAAATCGGATAGCTGTTGATTGTAGGTAATCTTTACTGGAGTCTTCTAAAACAAAGTGTTCAAGCTTTTTTTTTATTATAATAACAGTACCTCCGCGAGCCATACCTTTGGGATGGTTGGTGTCATAAAAACAGTGATTTGGAATTTTGAAAGCGTTTTTTCAGTAAGATGTGTTTCGAACACAAGCATGATATCAATTGCATTACTAATTAATAAATATTCAATTTCGTTATTATGGTTGTTTATACTGATTGCATTCCAGTGACATATTCTAATCGAGTTGCTCATTTGGAGTTAATAATGGAAGAACATTATCAGAGCTTGCATTAGAGCACTTTGATTTTTTATAAGTTCTTGCATCATGCTTTGCATACTACAAATAAAAAATTAAGATATTGTATTGGATCATTTCTTTTGAAAGGTTCTTCTACTGTTATTCTTCAATGTAAAAGGTAACGATGATTGTAAATTGGATGCATTTCTCCTTCAGCGAGTTTTTTTTCGTTTGGCTCAAGTTCTACTTTAAATATTGGTTGAGGTATTTTATTTTTATTTTTAATATTAATGATCGACTTTGTTTCAAAGTCGGCTTTTGGCAAGGCTGTTTTTATATCATATGCACGAAATGTTCTATACCTTTAATCACCACACTTAAACCTTCGCTACTTTTTGATAGGTGTAGTAGCTTTTAATATTGACATCAAAGAAGTGTAAAATTCTTCTAAAGTTAAATTCGTCGTTTATTTGAATTTTTGTTTCATAGACATTTCCTTTCAAGAGTGGAATCATGCTTGAATCAATGCATGAATCAATGCTTATCGCCGATAATGGATGTCATCTTCTTTAAAAGCTCGTTCGAATATTTTTCCCTTAAGTAGATTGGAGGTGGTTTGAATTTTTTGATATTATTTCCAGTATTCTCGCTTTCATCAGTTAATAAAATTTTAAATCTATTTTTATTTAAGGAGGCGCGGTTTCAAATAATTTTGTTTGTTTAGCTACTTGACTAGTTGGTTTTGTCATATGGCTGCGTTTCCGCTTCTTAACAAGAATGTATCTATCTATTCCTGTCTGAATTTTATTGCCGCTGCCTTGTTTAGCAGCATTTTCAATATTATTTTTATCTTCAATATTGATAGACTCATGTTCGTAATTGTTTGTTGCGCAATTTGGCAATTTTTTATTACAAACATTTTTCTGCAACTTTTTTTCTACATAGACGATTTAAATCGTGAGGATGCTATTTTGCAAATTGTAGATATAAAGACCCGCCCTTTCTCTATCTAAACTCACGTGCGACGTTTTAAAAATAAATAAAATATATTTCTTATAATATTAATCTCATTTATTTCAGAATTGGTGATTTTATAACTAATCGTTTTCTTCTGTAAGTATCCAAATATATTGTTTTAAATAAATCATTATGTTGCTAAAAACAAAAATAAATTTGTATTCTTAGTAGGAGTTCCAGGTTAAATTAGAAAAAAACCAAAAGAAGACATATTGAAACTAAAAGTAAGTTTTTAAGATAGGGATAGACGGAAAAATTACGGCTGAATATGCTCGGGTCTTTCTTTTGATGTTACACCTTCCATTTTAGGTTCCACAAAAACTTTAAAGATTATTTATTCCATTCCTCTCTATAAATAAAATCACAGGATGAGTTTTGTCTATATTTTTTGGTGCACCGCTGAAAAATGTTACTTAAAAGAGCAGCGCAATATCATATGAGCTGCAACTCCCTCTAACATTGTTCCACCAACTTATTAATATGATTAATTTATTAATCTGGTATTAATGAAGTGTCAACAAAGATTTTAAACTTAAATACATCAGAATTGGATTAAAATGTACTGTTCCTTTTGTTTGTCATTGATATACTCATTTATTTTCTTTAAATTTACATGATATGTTATGTGTATGACGAAAATGAAGCTTAACACACTAGAGTTGCCATGTTACATATTTCTCATATATAATATATAAAACTAATATAATTATAGAAATTCTTATACACTTATACTACACTAAATAGTATGCTACATACTATATACTACTACAGTATCTACAAATTACAAAATTTGCACTAAATGTATTATAGTCAAAATTCTTTTGTTTACTTTATAAAAAAATTGTTATTAGAAACTGTCACTTTTAGAATATATAAGTAGTCGTCGAGTTACTTTATAAATTGAAAACGTTATACAATTAATATAAAAAATATGTTTTGTTAAAAAAAAGTATTCACTTGGTTTCATTTCTGCAGCTTACGCAAAATGCATCTATCTCTTCTAGTCGTTCTATTAAATGCCATATCCTTTTTTATCATAAGTGGTATTATGCATTTTGAGGATCATGCTATCATAAAAAACGGCAAAGTGAGTACATATATTTTTTTTACTATTTTTTATGTTATATTTGTATTGTTTATGCAATAGTTTTCTTATATAAAATTACTTATTCGAGGTTAAGGTAAGAAAATGAAAGTGAGAGTGAGAAAGAAAAATAGATATGGAGAGGTATGTGAAAATAGAAATACCTGATTTAAAAATTTTATCGCTTTTAGAAATAAGTATGCATGATATTTTTATACACTAACTATAGTGAGTCTTTTTAGTCTACTTTTTCAATTCTTATATTATTTTCGTTGACAATTATTTTGTGTTATGATTCAATATAGAAGTGATTTCTATAAAGCGAAAGGTCAGTCTAGCATCCAATCGCTTAGATTCATCATACTTTTCTCATTTAGTTGTAGTTCTGAGTTAATCATTTTCAAACGCTGGGGGAAAATCTGGGACTTCCTTGAGAAAAATGTTTTTATTATAATATTTTATTATAATAAAAATATGCAAATACTTCTTAATATATATAGTTGCCATTATTATTTATAACTATTACAATATTTTTATAATTTAAACATAATTATATTTTGCTATTCCATTTTTAATTTACATTTAATCACATTTTTTATTTTTTTTTAAGAGTAAAAAACACGAGAAACTCTTCTGGTACACGGAGATAGTTCTATGTTTGATCAGTATTGTTGCTAAGTGCTTTCTTACCTATGTGGTCCTAGAGCTTTTGGATTGCTTAGTAGCTTGGCTGGTGTTACGTTACAAGAGAGTACGTGGACGTATTGTCTATGTTGCCGCTGTTCAAAGAATGGACAACGTGGCTTCGTAAGAAGGCTTGGAGTAGCATAAAGTTTGCTGTTTAGAGTGCACGCCGAACAAATAATTCGAAAGCTATTCCTTTAAAACCAATATCTTTTCTAACATTTTTGTTTTTATCACGTGATGTTATTGTTTTATTCAGTTAGTAGTCTATTACTTAAATAAAGTTTGGTTTTTTACAAAAATCGTTTGTTTCGTTCAAGTTTTTTTTTGCAGATAGAATTTTCTTTTTAATTTAGTGCATTTATGCTAAAATTTAGTATATTATATTATGAAACTATATACACATAATATTCGATAAATATTAACAATGAACACTTCTGTTCAATATGATCTTCACGTTTAGACTAAAAATTATGTTTTACGAATTTTATTTTCGCATTTTAAGCTCTTGTTACCTTTGCGCCTCGCACAGCCTGAAAAATATACTAATTATTTGATCACATTAACCAAGAGTGTAAAAGACATGGAGTTGACAGAGTCCTGTGTAAAAACAGAAGCCAAAATGCAATCCTATGCACAAATAACTAAAACTAGAAACACAAATCCGAAGTCTGAAAATGCAATTCTTATGCAAATCTTGGAGAAATTAAATAAGCAAGAAGAATTCAACAAGCTAATTGAAAAGTGTTAAAAAAACCTAGAAATACTCTTGAAAAACCCACACGATGGTTAAAGCTATAAGGATAATGTTATGGAACGCTAACGACCTTCTAAAACACAAAGATTAGCTTGAACTTTTACTTCATATTAAAAATATTGATATTTGCCTCATAGCCGAAACTCATTTTACTAGATCGTCTTACATAAATTTTAAAAACTATTCAATTTACCACTCAGTACATCAGTACTTCTTTAAAAACGAAGAAAGTGGAAAAATTGTCTGAAAGACCTTTGGTCTCGACAGGATATACATATATATTATAAACTTATCAATGAAACAGTTTGTTAGGAAAATAATATCTAGAAATTGACTTATATCTTGACCACCGAAATTGTGTGATCTGAAGTCACTTTCTTTGTATAAACTTGAAATCGTTGGTCTGTACGGACAAATCTGCATCGATTTCAGTCTTGGCATTAGCACTCGAAACACTATTTGGAAGAGATTAATTTAAATAATTGAAAAGATGAAGCAAATTCTTAAAAAATTATCCACAAATTATTATGTTACGAGATTCACCACTACGATCTAGAGATCTATTGTGCCCTTTTCATGAGCTTAAAGCACTTCTTCAAGTCCCTTTTTCTCGATATATTATGGTATTAAACTATTATGTAGAGGAGGTATAGTCTAAAACCTACAATCTAGCAATGGTCAGTCATAAGTTACTTGTACCATTTTCATAACTTAAGTACCTACAAAAATCATTTTTAAACTTTTTGAATAAATTTAAAAACTCAAATGTAATTCGTTTTTGGGTTTTTAAAACAATTCATCCTAAATCCAAGAACTGCGCACACCGTTAATTTAACAACAACCATTTTTATAGTTGACACATATTTATTAAAATGTTGACCATTACTAGCCTTGGCACATGCAAAGTTTTTATACGGAATCTATCACTAACTGTTTTGGAGCACACCATTTTGTTGGTGTATAGAGACAACTTTCAGAAGGTTATTTTTCCAGAAGGAATGTTATTTATTATATCTTACATTTTGTTTATACAATCAGATGAATATATAAATAAATATATATATTGTCACCTTTATATATATGTTGTCAACTATAACATATAATTTAGTAAGACGTTAATAATTTAATGATTTAGTTGAATTTATAAGCAATTGGTGACAAAGTTTTCGGTTTCATTGAAATTTATACATTAATTAAATTAAAAATTTATTATTAAAAGTTTATTTTGGAGTATCACAAGTCACAGCTTGAGGTATTATTTCACACAAAAAAAAATTGCTTATGCATTAACTTATAACAATTAATTAACGCAATATATTGCTGGTTTCAAATATTAATTTGTCAAAAAGTATCAGAGAATCGGTACTGAAAGCTATTGAAAGGTTAAACTAAATCAAATTAAAACATTGTAAGTGGGCCATAACCTCTCCACTATCCCCTCATATAACCGCGGCTTTCGTGACTCCAGTCACAGAGTATATTGTTGATCCCACCCCCCCTAGTTAGCCGTAATCCCTCCCCCTTCTATATCACTCATCCTACCTAGTTAATGCCGTTACTTTCTAATTTAGATGAACTTAGTTCACTAGGTATTAAGTCTATTTTCTCATTCTTCTCTCCTATGATTACTGGAATGAAGTTTCCACTTTGCTGTGGAAATCTTCTTCTTTCATTCCTAAGAGGTGGTTTTAGTGTGTTCAAGTCTCACACTGTGGCTTTCGATGCTTTCCACCTACTGCAAAAAAAAATTATAACGTTTTCTGCTACAGTTTGGAACAAAATTCGTGGCAATATAAGAACAATCTACAATAATTATATCTATTCAATCTAAACTAATTGCATATCCAATTATTAGGAAGTCGTATTTAAAGCCTTTTAATTATTTTTATTTACTATGGTATTTTAAGGTATAATATTTTGAACTTATAATCTTCAAAGAAAACAATTAAATTTAATAGATGGAAAGAGTTAAGTGTGATAAAATACATAAAATGTTTATGTTAATATGTTAGATTGAATTTGCACATAAAATAATTGCACACACATAATTGGCACTTAACTTATATAAAAGTATTACATATACATACGTTGAATATCTACATATATATAAAATCGTTTGTTCGTCTGTTCGTTACTCAATAACTTTTTAATGACTTAACTAATCTTCTTGATACTCTCAGATCTCACTTATATAGTTTTTCGGCGTAACATAGGCTTTTAAAACATTCGATACTAGTTATAATTTTAACTTAAATAATAAATTTAATAATTTCCGTTTCAAACTTTCCGACAGTTTGAATGATACTGATTTTCTTTTTATTTTTTTCAAATAAAAAAAATTTATTACATTCACTTAAAGATTTCAATATATTTAAAAATTAAACTGGATATATATACATTTGCTTAATAATTAGAATAGAGGAAAAAGATATTTTTTTTATTAATTGTAGCTGTGCTTAAAGAAAAAATGCCAAGACTTAAAGCAAAAACAAATCTTTCTAAATACACACAGAGGAATCAAACTATGCGATTAAGACGAGAAACCAGAAGTTCTGAGGAACATTTGCGAAACAATGACACTGATAAGGAACGGATGGTGCAGTTGCGTTTAAATGAAACTCAGAACCAAAGAAACCAACGGTTAAACGGAGATATATCACGACATAGACGAACGAGTCAACACGTAACTGATGTAAATAGGCAACAAAATCGAGAGCGCATTCAAAAACAACGTGCATTGACAAGGTCATCGTTCAATCGTCTTGCATTTGAATATGATCCAGTAATAGATTATTCAGCACATCCCAAATTATAGTTGGCGAAATGAATATTGAATGTGGATATTGTCATGCATTAAAATTTAAAAAGGAAACACCTGGAATATGTTACGCATCAGGAAAAGTGGTATTGCTTTCATTGAATCCACCACCCGAGCCCTTGAAAACATTAATAGCTGGCATAAAATATGAGTCAAAATTATTTTTGAAAAAAATTCGAAAATTTAATTCAAGCTTTCAAATGACCTCATTTGGAGCAACAAACGTAGTTAAAAATACAAGTAACAACAATTTCAATGTTGAAACAACTTTCAAAATTCAAGGTCAGGTTTATCATAGAATTGGTTCGTTACTATCGATGCCCGATGAGGACCCCAAATTTCTGCAAATTTACTTCATGGGCAATGAGGAAGATAGAGTAAATGCAAGATGCAACTATAATCATATTGAAATAAATGCAGAAAAAGCAATAGTTGCATCTTTAGATGCGTTTGTAAATAAGAACAATCAGTTAATAAAAGTGTTCAAAGGAGTGTCGAACAGATTACAAAATGACAATTACATGATTGTAATCAAAGCCGACAAAGTACCAATTGCAGAACATACACGACGATTTAACGCTCCAACTATAAATGAAATCGCTGTATTAATAGTTGGCGAACGGTTTGAAAAACGAGATATTAAAATTATGCGTAGAGATAAAACATGGCAAACAATTGAAGATACTCATCGTTCATATGATGCATTGCAATAGCCCCTAATATTTTGGGAGGGAGAAGATGGATATCAAACTGATTGAATAGATTTCCGTTTAGTAACTATTTAATAAATTATTTTCAGATGAAGAAACAAACAAAAATGTTAGCGCAATGAACTATTACTCATATCGTTTGATGATCCGAAACCATGAAGATAATCACATTTTAAAGTGCCGTCAATTATTTCATCAATCGTAGTCGATATGTTGAAAGCGAACGATTGCGATACATTCGATTCAACCAAACAAAATTGCGTGCAGAAGAGTATATACATCTACGCGATGCTGTTAATAATAATATAGATGGGAACTTGAACCTTAGTAATATTGGTAATGTGTTCATACTTCCATCTTCATATACTGGCAGCTCACGTCATATGCAAGAATACATCGAAGACGCAATGACGTACGTGCGTGCATATGGTCGACCAGATTTATTTATAACATATACATGTAATCCGCATTGGGATGAAATAAAAAAATGGTCGACCAGATTTATTTGTAACATATACATGTAATCCGCATTGGGATGAAATAAAAAAATTGTTATTACTTGGACAAACGCCGATTCATCGTCCCGATATTACCGCACGGGTGTTTAAACAAAAATTAAAATCTTTGATTGATATAATTGTAAAACACTCTGTATTTGGAGAAACACGCTACTGGATGTATTCTATTGAGTGGCAAAAAAGAGGTTTGCCACATGCTCATATTTTAATTTGGTGTGTTGAAAAAATCAGACCTGAAGAATTTGATAAAAAAGTTTCTGCAGAAATTCCAGATCCAAATGTTGACAAAGAGCTATTTGAATTTGTGACAAAAAATATGATACATGGTCCATGCGGAAATTTAAGTATGACGTCAAACAAATAGTTTGTTAGAGATACGATAACTGGAATTGATGGCTATCCTATATATCGTCGAAGAAATTCGGAAAATGGAGGCCAATCCTTTTCA